GGCTTGGTTGGGGATCCCTTGATAGTGATTAATCACCATGCAATGATTTCTTTTTAACAATTACATACCATTTATATCTTTTAAAGAATAACTTACCATTTATACTTTTTAACACTAACATAACACACCCTTGAGAGTATTCTGTTGGATGCTCTGGTGTTTCTGTTTGCGATGAGAGTTATCATCAAGACCTAGGGTGACTATACTTATGTGAGTTTCCCATAGTACAGAGTGACTTTCGCATCACAGCTTGCTGCTTCGGTTGACTTATTTCGCGTCCAAGTTTTTGCACCACATGCATCTTTTCTGTGCCCACCTCGAAGGGATTATCACCGGGCTTGTCTATGTTCAGCTGAGAGATTCTTTTTGTTGAACTGACCCAGTTGCTGCTCTTGTTAGAGTGGTGGTAGGATAGCTGGGAGGACGTTGAGGTTTTTTTCGAGCTCATTTAGGCCTCAGGGTCCTAGCTAGTATATCGGGAAGCCAGAGTAAGAGGTGATGTTCATCGGATTCATTTTGGAAATGTCAAGTTTGTAATTTTGATAAATCAGGATTGGTTGATCTATGTGAGATGTGCAGCACAGAGCGCAATCGAGCTGCATTGTCATTCGCAAGGTAGCTCCATCATATGGATATATGATTAGAATATGGAGAATAATGTGATCTTTTTTAACTAAGATGGGGTTTTTCTTGTTTCGTGCATGTTCAAGTTGGCAAGTTTCAGTTGTCCTTCTTGATTAGCTACTCGTTGAGTTGAACTTCTGAAGATGATGCGGTTGGCAATTTACTGTAAGTTTGAGTTAAAGAAAACTAGTGGACAGTAGTTAATTGCTGTTGTATATATGTTGATGTAGATATTATATCTGAGAACTGCTAATTCTATTACTCTGATTACATGAACTTGAATTAAGAATCTGATATAGTTGTTATGTTGGAATATTATCAAAATTGATCAAAAGTTTATGTTACAGATTTGTGTAGTCTATATCTATTCTGCCAATTGTGTACAGTATTTGAATTGTAATTTGGCCTATTTTTATAGTTGTTCTTTATGATGATCTTGACAGGCTTATTTGTTTGAAAATAATAAATTCTTCAGGAAATCTTTGCTTCTCATGATCTCATGCTATGTGTAGCAACGAGTTATTAGACAACCGTGTATTCCATGTTTTAGTGATGTCTTACTCTCTGACTTATTTCGCCTTTGGTGATAATTTATGTGAACTGGAGAATGAAATGAGATACTATCCTCAGATGATCTTGGTTGGGATAAGTTGGGTAAAATAGTCGTTCGCGAAGCTGTGTATGATGTCTTTGTTGATGTAAAATCTTGTGTAATATTTTTTTTTAGATTTTCTTTCTATTATTATTCATCGTTCATTCGTTTGCAGTTTATATAATGATAGCAAACTAGGCATTTTGTGACGCTTTTAACGTCTTCTCTTAAGAACATCTATGTATTCTATATTGGTTTCCCCTTTTTCCGCTCTTTTTTGCCCAGTAATGCCCTTTAGATATTTGTTTAAAATGCAGTGTTCCTGCCCAATTAAAGAGAGAATTTGCATCTTCTAAAGAGATATGCTTGCTCCATTGATAAGAGCATATTTATTTTCGATGAACTTCATGCTTAGAATCAATACATGTGACTGAGACTTTGCTTTCCTTTCTCTTGTTTTTCTTCTCTTGATCTGTACTATTATCCTACGTCCTCTCGATATCTTACATTATTATGTCACGGTTTCACCTGAAAGCATGAAATTTATGTACTATATTTTAGAATACCTCTAATAATTCGATTATTTCCTAAAATTTATCAGTTTGGAGCTTAATTTTCTATCTAGCTGCTTTCTGGTAACAGGTTAAATTTCTGATGGGCAATGGATTGGGAATATCAAACGTTAGCATTAACTATAATGACAATGAGTTGTCCTTCATGATTAGCTTCTCCATGGTTACACTAGCACTCATGAACCATGATGTGTTTGCTTACCTTCATTGTCATCGAAACGAAATTTCATTTCTGTTTATTTTGTGATTAAGAACTAGTATTAGTATTTGTTTGACCGATGTAATCATTTAGCGATGGCAGATCCTGAAGAACGTACTATGACAAATAAGAAAATAGCAGAGTAGTAAGAAACTCGAACTTGTTAGTTCACTTGAGCTAATTATCCCAGGTACGAGGAAAGTATTTCTTCGATTGAAACAATCGGAACGAAATCATTTGCGCAGAGATTACAAGGACCAGATTTGACATCATTCTCATGGAAAGGAGCTATATCGCCTTTACTACAACAACAATGCTTGAATATAACATGAGAAAGCAACAATTAATTAAATGGTGGTTATAGTGGTTAGGATAAAGGGAAAGTACATGGCATGCTCTTTTAACAAACAATCATTATATCATTCTCAATCCCATTAGCTCTAAATGAT